GGTGCACATGCCCATTGCCAGGACTGTGCTTCCCTCTGCTGTCAGGAGCTGGAATCTTGTGGGTTTTGTTTTCAGATGTACTCCATTCAAAATAAATATTTAAAAAAGAAAAAAAATCAACCCAGAATTTACAATGCTAAGTTCTAATGACTGCAGAGATCAGCTTTCCACTAACCTATGCCAGGCAAGATCAGCAGAAGCAAAGCAGTAAGTTTTGTAAGGAAATGTTCTTGCTATTGCCATAACTGTCATGACCACACAGGTAACTTACACTTGCAGTGAGACCTGTCTTTTTAAAACATGTTCTAAATGAGAAAAATGGTCATAAATTTTCAGGCTCTTCTTTCTGCAAACTGAGAAACCCTGCACAGACCTGAGGGAGCAGTAAAGGGCTGGCCATGGATGTAATGTCACCATTTACCCAGTCCTCCAGCCCATGCCCACTGTTGGTAGAGTTCATAGAGACCTTTCTCTGCTTCCCATTTTGGGACAATACAGAGCCCACTCTTCTCACACATCAGCTGGGAAAGCCATGGAATCAATGCCTTTATGCACCTTTAATTTATCCTCTGCTTTGCAAGAGTTTAATTTGAAAGGTGGTTGGAGGGAGGGGGCAGCAGCAGCACCCTGATGATCCTGAAGGATCCTTTGGAATAAAAGGCTGAATGCAGAATGACAGCATTTGGTGTGATGCTGTATGGCAGGGAGGTGACTGCAGTGCCAAACTTTCCTATCATAAGGCTCAGGAACACAGCAGCTCCATCTAGATTTTGTGAAAATCTTAGTATCAAAGTACAATTATTTTCATTCTGCCCATATGCTCTAAGTAACTGAATATGAAATCAAGCTGTTAAAATTCTTCCCAAATTAAAAATAGATCTGTTCACTTTTGGAAAAAGGAGTCTGCAGAGCAGAGTGGGTGGGAGTGAAAGGAGAGTTCTAGAAAACTGTCACACACAGGGAGACTTTTATTAACCCTGGCCTGTAACAAATACAACTGAGCTTTGGGGCTGGACGTGAGCAGAAGAGCTGGGGAAGGGGAACAGCTGAACCCCCAGGTAGTGGAGATGGGAGGCTGGACAGAGCTGGGGTTCCAGAAGTTTATAAGCCAAGTGGAGATACAGCTGAGCTCTGCTTATCATTATTAGACTGGACCAGCAGAATTAAGCCCAAATCTCAGAGCACTCAGATAAAAGTGCACAATGCACCTTTCCTAGAAAGCCTTTTCTTGCCATGCACAGCACAAATCAAATAAATACATTTTAAAATCAGCATATGCTCAAAGAAACCCTGACCATCCAGTTATAGGGAAAGGATAAATCATGGGGCCTTGGCCTTGGCTTTTGAGTCTGCAGCTCTGTGTTCTGTGTGGATGTGGGATAATGGTGATGCACCAGAAATGCAGGTGGGAGATGCATCTGAAGGGGCAGGAAAAGAGACACATTTCACAGAGGTCCTTTCCCTGTTAAATAATTTCAGAGTTGTAAACCTTTGGTATTGACTCATTTCTGAGCAGCCCTGAGCACTGTGACACAAGAGCAGCACCAGGAGGTTTCTCAGCAGTGCAGTTTCATTGCACCACCCCCTGGCTGGCCAGGCTGCTGCATTTCTCCACCCCCTCGTCTCTCAGGTGATGCTACTGAGCTCTGTCCTTTCACTAAAGACTCTCTTTAGAGCAGCTACTCATAATGGAAACTTAAAGGACACCAAGTTGCCTTCTCAGAGCTATGATGAACCCAGAAAACCAGGCACAGAGAACAACCACAGATCCCCTGCGCCTTGTTCTCACTGGTGGTTTCAGAAGAGCAGTGACTTAGTTACTCATTTTGGAGAGGTGAACCCCTCTAGCTTCTAAGCATTAACAGGAACCTCCAAGAGACCCACACAGTGCAGGCAGATTGTTGAGCTGCTCCCAGGGAAGGCAGGGCCCTGGCAGAGCCTGGCAGAGAGCTGGGAGGAAGAGCTGAGCTGCTCCATGCCTGCTCACTCTGCTGATGCACCATTAAAAAGCAGGAACTGAGGAGGAAACTCACTTTCTTTTTCAGATGTGGGCTGGAGGGAGTAGAGAACCCCTTGCTGGAAGGTGAGAGGAAGGCTTGGGGTGGCTGGTGGCCCTGGAGGACCTGGGGGACCTGGGATGCCGGTTTCTCCTGGAAGTCCTCTTGGTCCTGGAGGTCCCAACAGCCCTGTGCAAAACAGGAGAGGATGTGTTAGTGCATTTGAAGATGTGCTAATGATGCTACCATGTAAAAAGGCAGCAAGAAGACAAAAGTTCTGTCCTGAACTGTAACTGTGGGATTAGGGGTGTGAGGGAAAATAGGAACAGCTTCCTCATCTTCCATTGTTTGCCTTTTGCATCTTCCTCTGCAAAGCAGACAGCCTTACTTGGCTCAAAGAGTAAAATCTCTCCCCTCCCTGAGGCTGAGCAAGAAGCTAAAGGCAGCAAGGGATGAAACCAAGCACTGTTCTCTCTTCCCCTCCATGTACACCTGTAGGTACTGTCAGGAGAACTCAGACAGAACAATGGAATCCCAGTCAGTCCAGCTGCTGACCAGTTTTGCTTCCTGTGTGGCTGGAAGGCTCTTGATGCAAACTGAGAAACCAAACAGCAGACACATCCTTGGCCAGACTTTAGCCATTGACAAGTTGCCAGAAAACACCAAAAAATGTTCAGGGCTGCTCCCACATTTGAGGCACGCTCCGAGATTCAAATCTTTCCTGAGCTCAGAGTTACAAGACACAGCCTTACAGCTGGATACAAAGCACAGAGCCTGAGGTTTGGCACCTATCGTGTAGTATCGCCTCCATCAAAACATTTAGGAACATTTTGGGGATGAAGAAAGTCTCCTAGCTCAGGAATGGAGTGTAGTCTGAAAGAGTGGCCTCGTAACCTTTTCCCTTCATGTACAAAAGTGTCCCTAGTTTGACATTCTGGCATCTGAAAGCTCGACACAAACGGTGGGAGAGAAGGGAGTTAAACCAGGCACACAGCGAGGGGGTGGAACAGGGAATGCTCCTCACTCAAAGCCTGACAGATCAGAGACTGTTTTACAGCTCTGGAGCAGGATGGGGAAACATGACCCTGCTCTGCAGCTTCCCTGGACAAGCTCTCTCCAGCTCCATGGGAAACCCCAAGGACTGTCATTGCTCCTGCAGGTGTCTGCCTGCTCTGAGAGCTGCTGGCTGATCTCAGTGCCAAGGGGACCCAGTGGAATGGATTCAATACCCACTGAAGATGCTCAACATCTTCCACATCCAGCCTTTTATAAACTCTTGTCACAGACAATTTGTATAAAGTGGAGTGTCTCCTACCCTGGCAGCACTGCCCTCCTCCAGGACTTACCTGGTGGTCCTGCTGGGCCCCTCTCACCAGGTTGACCCTTCTCTCCTTTTGGCCCTGGTGGTCCTGGGAGACCAGTTGGTCCAACTGGGCCTGGGGGACCAACCTGTCCTGGCATCCCTGAAAACATTAAGAAAGGAAATTAATTGGAGGTTAGGACACTGCTGAGTCTTTAGCAACCTAGAAACCAGGGAAGAGGGACTCAAAGATGTGAGGGGGAGAACTGCAGCTTTGCACAGACAGCTACTGATGTCTAGGGCTGGCTGGTATGTAGAGCATAAGGGATGGACTGGGCCTTGTTCTCCTCTTCTTCCTCCAGCCTTTAAAGAAAGAAGCATGTCCCCACGCACAATGACCCCCCAAAAAGTCAGCAGGTGTGTACCTTCAGCTGGGATGTGCTGGGCAAAGCTAAACTGAGCCCACACTGCTCCCACCCAAGGGCTGACTGGCTCTGGGCAGGGTCTGGCTGGTCCCTCAAGCACTCCTCTGCTAGCTTTGTCCAGACATGTGCCACTTCCACAGCAGTCCCAATGTGCCAAATACACAAAATACATCTACCAAAGCAAATCAAACCCTCTCTCCCACTTGCTCTGGCTGATCTATACATACAAGCCAGGGATTCTGCATCAAATATATTTCTCTGGTGTCTCCTGTTTTCAATCATCTAACGACAAGTAGCCATGCTGTGTACAAGCATTCTTCATCCCAAACTGAAATGGAAACACCCACACTTTGGAAGTAAATAGATGTTACTAATTTATACCAGTGAATAGGGTCCTGAGCAAACCCCTCTGGAAATACCAGTCACACAATAATTACAGCCCAGTGGGATGCTCCTTGGTGAGTCTACTCAGACACCCATTAAGCCTGTGAAAGGTGCAGGCAGCATTTGTAATCTGAGAGTGGCTGTTTCTGATGATACTAAATAAAATCTTAATGTTTTCTTTAGACTGTCAAAACAACAACAACACTTGGCAATTTCCTAGTGCTTTGCAGAAAAGCACAAAGCCCCTGTGGCTCACAAAAGCAGTGGCTGCCTTGCAAAGATACACTTCAGCACTTTGCAAACACCAGTGAAGGTTTAATACTTCAGAGAGGTGGTCAAGTTGGTCTGCCTGCTCAGATTAAGTGGTCCATGGTTACAAAAAAAGGCATTGACTGTTAGAGCCAAAAGAGTTAGAGGTTCCAGGTTTGTGGGCTACCAAAGGGCTCTAAGTATTTGGAAAGCGTGGCAGATG